GTCCAGCACTTATTTTTATATCCGTTATGGACTAGTGTGCCACTTTTTAATTTCTTAAGTATTTTTGAGAAATTTAATTACACAGTTCATCATCTTCAGCTTGTTAACAGAGACAAACTGATTACCTCACTCCTTACTCTGCTCCTGAAGTTGTGCTTTAAATGTAAGGCCAATCACTTTGTAAATGACTGTCACACATGCCAGGCTCTATTATTATGCAAAGCATTCCAGAGAAACAACAAAAAGGGAACTTCAGCCATGCAGTGACGTTTGCAAAACAAAAGAAAAAAAAATTGAGTATTGTTTCTGGACACAGTTCAAGCTGTTAGTCTCAGAATGCCATATGTTGATTGAGAGCTGAAATAAATAAGAGATTGTTAATAAAGATGCTGACTCTTATATGAATGAAATTCTTAATGGAGGTTGTTCCTCCTAAGCTCACAATACAGGGAAAACCCAGCAACATCTCTCTCCCTTCCCCCTCCCTCCCCCCCCCATCATGCAGGAATTTACAAAGTGATTTACTATATGAGATGGGAAAGAGTAGCTCCCAACCCTACTAAGATATTTGTCTTGACTGAGCAGAGGTGATACAATTCATCTTACCAAGGTGAAGAAGCAACATGAAGATGCAACGTGATTCTGATCCAGCACTTCAGGTCACAATAAAGCCTCAACTGACAATTCCAATACAAAGAAGAGGCTTCGGGATATAATTCTTCCAAGTAATGAACTAATTACAAGAGGTGGCAGAAGCAAGGCCAAGAAAGCAGTGCTGCTACTTCTCTTTACTATTAGAAGCAGGAGGTACACTTTGCTTGAAGAAGCAGCTTGAAATAATGGCTTCACTCAAAGCATTGTCCTAGTTTCATGTCTGTATAAAAAGGACACATAGAAATAAACTGGCTTGGCCTCATCCAAGGATGGGGATGGAGGTTTGTGGACTTCAGATGTCCCTGAACAATAACTCCCAGTATGTCCCATCACTGTCAAGTTGGCTAATGCCAAAGGATCTCTATCCTTGTCTGGATCAGTACATGGATAAGAAATTAAAAAGAATGATATGTAATGATTCTGTTATAGGACCAGGTTCAGAAATCGAGGCAGATAACTAGATAAGTCTACTCAATAAAAGGACCGATAGATTGTATATGAAGTAGCATTCCTAGGCAGTTTTCCATTAACATGGAATTTTTCCTTAACACACTCAAATATTAGGACATTTTTTAGAAGTCTAGCAGGCTTTCCTTTCTGGGTGGCTTTTGGGATTATCCTTTACAAGATTGTGACAGAAAACTAGGTCCTGATACAGAGTGATCTGTACTTCAATGTTCATACCTCTAGGTATTAATAAATACCTAGAGGTATTAATAAGGCTATAATAAATGGGTAAATGCAAGGGAGGGCAGTTTAGAAAGAAAAGGCAAAGAAATATAAGTAAAATAAACTTAAATCCAAATATTCCTGCTTGTGGATTAGACTGTGAAAAGCTAGATCACCTATCTGACATAACCATTATAAAATACTGCCTGAAATGAACAACATGAATTTTTGTGAGATTTTAACACAGTCAGCAGTGATGCAACAAAAGGAGCAAAATAAAAATGGTGTATTTTCTATTAGGAAAATGGGTTTATTTAAATTTATCATCTTTGTAGGAGTCACCACTGTATATGAGAAATACTGAATAACTTTTGATCTCAATTAAATTATCACTCTTCCATTTTTGGCATGATGACTCATTGGATAAAATGACATTTCTATCTACTTGCTCTTTTAATCATTTCTAATTTACAGTATATTTGGAGTTTGGCATGGCTAATCCATCCATTTTACTGAACGGGGCAATTTGGTCAATCAAAGAGAACACTTGTCTATTTAAAAATATTGTTAGCGGTAAAGGTTGTCCGAATGGTATATACAGTCCACCTTCTCTTAAGTTCACAGAGCAGAAGGATACATATGTTACACTATGTCATGCCACTACGGACAGGGTCTACATGACTTCCCCAGGAGGGGGCTTGGAAGGGAAGGAAATTTCTGTATTTTTGCACAGGTATATCCTTTGTGGTATTTTTGGTTACATTGTCCACCAGCTTCATCCTTATTGGAAATTGCTACCCACATCTGAGGATTCCCAATAAGGATGAAACTGGTAGTATTTCAATTTTTCTTAAGCTGTTTTTTTTCTTTCTTTCTTAGGCCATAACCTTCCAAACTAATAGCATCATGGCACTATTTAAAGGTGCTTATTTAAAGGTGCTTACATCAAAATAGATTTCCAGAATTGTTACTAAAGCTGTTACATCATCATAAGCAAAGCTATGTGACCAAACAAAGCCAGTTTGAGGACATCTCCAATAAATGCTAGAGTAAGAAGAAAAAGCCATAGGTTGACATGAAAGAGAATTCTAAAAATCTGGGGTCATCAACACTAAACTGATCTTAATGGCTAGTTTATAAACAGGACTGGAAGATGAAGTTGTTACTTCAAATTTCCTGGGCTCTGTTTATGAAAAAAGTAAATGTTAAGACCTGTAGTTTTAAGTAGCCCTGAAAACATAGCTGAAGATAATGAAACTGACACAAGAATGAAGTTATGTGTTTATAGATTTTCTATTTCCCATCAACATGTGGATATCCACATTTCATCCCACTAGTTTCTGGACTACCTTCAGAAGCACTGCATGTCAAGCACCCTGAAGTAGATTACTTCGAAACTGACTAGGAGTTGAAAGTAACATGGAATGACTGACACAGATAAAAGTTTAGAAAAACTGATTTTCTAAAAGCACCTTGCTTTGCTTTGCTCTGTCAGGAATAGAGGTCAAGTCAGTCCAATATCTTTTGCTACTAGAGAAAAAAGTTAAAATTGAGGCGCAAGTAATCTTATCCCTGGCAATAAGGTGAATATCTAAAAGAACACAACTATTTAACTGAAAATAAACACCAAAACAACTTTTAAGAAGCCATTTAAACCATTAAAAAAAATAACTATTTCGACCAAATTCCTTAAAGGTTACTTCTCAGCAGAAGCATCACAGGAGGGGTGGAAGGGCCAAGATGGTGAGCAGAACCATGTGATCAAAGCCCCGCCCACTTTATAGAGTATCAATGCTGCATCACATATGAAGAGGCAAGGGTTCAATCATGCCTGCTTCCATGCCAGACACCCCTGCTCCTCAGAGATTTTTTCCACATTGCTGTGAAAAACTTTGTAGAACAAGATGGAATCTTCCTTCGTGCTATGTAAAAAGCCAAATGGGCTTGCAGTTATGTCCCTATATGTTCTGAAGCACCTGTTCTGGCTTATTTCTGAAGAGATCCACATCACTATAAGTTGTATATATAAATATACATATATAAATATGATAAATAAATAAGTGGTAAGAATTACTCCAAATTGCTGTGGTCACACTATAAAATTCTCAATAAAGACTACGATCTAAGAAGGTGTCATATGGAAACTTCTGTAATAGTGCTTTTTTCAATGTGAAAGAGGGCTATAATCGGTATGGCAAATGTATTTGCTCCAAAAGACGTTTCCCTGAAATTGCATTATAGTTCATCAGCATAGTTAATGCAATTAAGCATGAACAATTAATAGGATACAGTATTCCCCCTTTCTTTCAGCACATCTTTTCTTCTATTAAGTCATCCAATTCCTCCCGCCTTTCATTCAAATCCCTTTTCCAGGCTTCAGCTGTCAGAATGGCTTAAACTTTTCAGCTGTAGACACTCAGAAAAGAAAGCTTTTGATCAGCCTCAATCACTTGGACTTTATCTCTGCAGTTATGACATCCAAAGAATTAATGGCCTTTTTGTAAAGAAGCTTTTGAAAGTGGCTGGTCCCTGTAGCATATGACTATGCCTCCCTCAGCACAAAGCAATACCCAAGTACTGCTACAGTCTGGCTCGGTTTATCTCAACCCTTCAGATATATCGGACTACAATGCTTCAGATTTTGAGATCTCATGAGCATCCTAGTTATGATTATCTAGCAGGAGAGCATTACGTTGAGAAATGCCACTCTAAATGGGTTGACAGTCCGTTCAAACTTACAACTTGGACATGGTAGGGATCGTGTTCAAGATGCTTACCATGTATACCATGCCACTGTGACATGATTAGAGCAATATATGTTCAGTAGTTGAATCTATTATGTGGAATATTACCATGTGAAGGAAGAATTTTGTGGCTTCTCAAAGAATTGCTCTGAATTGTACTGTATTCCCATTTTTAGAGTGAGACCACTAAATCTGGTTTTGATTTCACCCTAACTCAGTTATGTATCTGTTGTAGAGAATTATTACAACTGAAACATCTATTCTTGATACCTGAACTATATTGACTCATTTGCAAATGAAAGCTAACACATAATTATGCCTATGCATCACGTGTTGAACTGTTTGCAGCAGTCCCAAAGCTTTGTCTATTTAAGTAGTGATTAAACGAGTAAACCCTTGGTTTCATGAACAGATAGTGAGAAAAAGACATATTTTTAAAACCAAATGTCATTTACATCAAGGACTTACTCTAACCTGACAACAGCAACAACAAGTAGGACAAAGCTGGCATGTAGGAAAGGGCTGGTTCATGTCATCCCCTCTCTCCTGTCCTCAGCAGCTGCCAGGACAGCATATTCCACCAGCCCAGCTGGGCCCCCCAATCTTCCCAGGGCTTTCCCTTCCCTCTCTCCCAATATCCCAGCATAGCATATCCTGTTCAGAAGATTTTGTCCATTAAATCCAAAGTCAGCTACACTGAGATCCATTAAATCAAGGGTATGCTGAACTCTTTCCCATATCAGGTATATCTTTTTTCCTTTGTACTATGACAGCCATCCATGTTAAGTTCTGTAGACCAGTGCTTCTCAACCTTGACAACTGTAAGATGTGTGGACTGCGTGGGGTATTCTGGAAGTTGAAGTCCACACATCTTAAAGTTGCCAAGGTTGAGAAACACTGCTGCAGACTTACATTAAATATGTGTCCACTTACCTGATCTCGAGAATAGGGACTATCTACTTTCTGTTTGTCAGAACAAGCTGCAATAAGAATATTCATCGCATCCAGCTGAAGCAACATCTCACAGGCCTTTGAGTCCAAAAATGTAATGTTGGCAATTGCAGCTGAAGCCAATAGGAAAACTTCTCCAGAGGCAGCCTCTTGGCACAGTTCTAGATATCAGAAAATCCAATTAAAATATCAAATTAAAATCAATTCATGTATCTGTTTGCTTCAAATAAGAAATACACAAGTCCCTTCAGCAGGAGTCCTTGTTAGAGGCTGTGCTCTTGAACATAAGAAAATTGCTCAAAGAATACTGAGTAATTAAGTAACTCAGTAATCCATTAAAAAAAAGTAATTAAGTAACCCATAAAAACAATCATATCCCAAAGGAATATACTTGCCTTGGATGCAGAGTATGGGCTTAACTCCGCTATCAATGAATGCTAACAGACATTCATTATATAGTATTCAAAGAGAAAGGAAGTTTTATTAAGAAATGCATAAGGATAGAAAAACCTCACTTCTATCTAAACTACATCTTTAAGAGAGAGATTCAGCAAAAGTTATTGTTCTTTTGTTTTGTAAAAAATGAACCTACTCCCATATTTGTTTATTTAGCCAATGATCTCACAGTCCCCACCAGTAATGAATAAATCGTGTCCACCACGGAGACAAGTGTCCAATGACTTTCCACCCTATCCCATGCAAACTATTTCAGAAATTCTTTTCTTGCCTATGTAAGAGACAGGAGAAAGGAAGTTTCCTTCACAGGGCATAAAATCAAAGGGAATCTGGTAGCACTTTTCTGACTAACAAATTTTATTAAAAGGCATAATGACCTGCAGCTAATTTCATTAGATGCTTTTTTTTTTTTTTTTTTTGGTGCCTTTGAGTCAGCATGGACTCCTGGTGACGGCCTGGACAAGTCCCTGAAGTTTTCTTGACAAGGTTTCAGAAGTGTCTTGCCATTGCCTGCTTCCTATGACTGAGAAAGAGAGGGACTGGCTCAAGGTCATTCAGCTGGCTTTGTGCCAGAGGTGGGACTAGAATTCAGTTTCCCAGTTTCTGGCCTGGTGTCTTCACCACTACACCAGCCTGGCTCTTCATTAGATGCATACAGTGGCTAGGTTGATGTATGATTTAAACTGGGGTGAGGGGAGTGAGGGGGAGGAAGATAGGTTGGTTATGCAGATGCAGGTTACATGTGAAACAGATAACAAGTACCTCATCCATTAACAATGGTAATGAGTTTAAAAAAAACCACTTGTTTGTGGAGACTTTCTGAATCTACCTGAAACCTTTTGATATACTATATGTGAGGTCAGCATTTTCTCACTCAGTGGTGCTGTTAAAGTCCCATTTTTCCAAAACAGTCACTTTGAGGTCTGCTATGGAGTGTTCTGGGAGACTGAAATGTTCTGATACAAATTCATCCTTGTTTTGAGTCCTGATAGCAAACCCCTGTCCATTAATTCTTTTGCACACAGTTTGTCCCGTTTGTCCTATGTAGAAGCCAGAGGGACATTGCTGGCAAATAATGGCATATATCACATTGAATGAAGACCATGTGAAGGTGTCTCTAATCTTGTATGTGTACTTCTTGGGGCCTGTGATGGTGCTGATGGTGTGGATGTGGGGGCAAAGTAGATAGACATTTGGGTTTGTTATTCGTTCTGGTTCCCACATTAGCATCATTGTCTGCTTCAGGTTGGGTAGTTGTCTGTATGCAAGTATGGGCCTGTCACCCAGTGCCTTAGAAAGTATAGTGTCATTGTCCAGTATGGGCTGTAGCTTAATGATGTATTTGAGTGGATTGAACTGTGACCTGTAGGTGACAACCAGTGGTGTCCTGTTGTTCTGTTTCTGTTGACTTTTAGTAACTCCTCCCTGGGAATTGATCTGTTTATTGATTCTTGATCTCATTGGGTAAATAGTACAGTTTCCGGAATGCCTGGCTTAATTCCATCAGTTGAACATCTCCATCAAGTGGATCAGAACAAATGTGATTGTAGCATACAGCCTGGCTATAAATTATAGATTTGGTAGTGTTTTCTGGGTGGAAGCTGGAAACTTGTAGATATACATGGCACTCTGTAGGTTTCTTGTATAATGTGGTATCTATGTGTCCATTGTGTCATTTTTACCATGACATCAAGGAAGTGGAGTTCTTCTGTAGATAGGTCTAGACCCATGGTGTTCAAACTGTGTTCCTCCGAACCCCAGGACTGTGTGAGAATCATCCACGGGTTCCACATGACAACTTACTCTTACACTGAAATTGTAAGATTGTTTTTTTTTGTTGTTGTTTAAAAGAGAAAAATCTGTGATGAGGTATTGCATGAAACATATTTATTACAGTAATGGGTTGCATGCTGATTTTTCACATTGATAAGGGTTCTTCAGGTATCTCAAGTTTGAATATCACTGGTCTAGACTCTGAGAGAGAGAGAGAGAGAGAGAGAGAGAGACTGAGACTCTTCCTGGCTTTTTTTTTTTTTTGGCAAGTTTGAAATATTTATGTGTCTTTATGTTTATGTGCAGCTATGCTATGTGCTGTAAAAGTTGAAGGCCAGTTTGTACCTGAACATCAGTCTTCTATCATTGATGGTATATTTGAATTTTGCTTCCAAGAAAACAAGTGAGGCATAATTCCCTAAAATACA